GCCATGACAAATATTCTAAATTAATTAATCAACAAGCTAGGTTATACAGAGATGGTTTCCCTTTCTCCCACAACCAATACTGGGGGAAACTCAGTGCTTCCCTCCTACTACACAGATCATCCTCCACCTAAAAGAAACTATTCTGTATTAGAAATAAACATGTGACATTGACCCAGTATGCTATTAATGCCAAGAAAGGCAGTCCCTCTCCTCTCCTCACAAAGGTGACCCTGCTGCTAATCGTCATTCCTACATTACTTTCCCTTTTACCCAGTGCTCTGAAGAACAAATTCAATCACTTAGTATGGCTTTGTTTACCCTTCATTTCACTGCCAACAGTACCTGTGGCAAGGTCCCACAGCCAGTGCACACACCTGGATGGAAGCCAAAGCCATGAAACTGCCCTATATTATTATCCTCTGACCCAAGCAATAATCAGATAAGGGCCTAAAGCAACCAGATCCACCCACATTTCTGTTATTCAGATGCATACTGCAACAGTAGACGACAAGCCTGGGAACAGGACCAAGATAGCAGGAAGAGCCACTAAGTGGATTCTTCTCCAAGAACTTTCTCATTCAACCTGTACTTGAATTTGGATGGACTGGTGGTACTTCTTGTATTGGGGCTGAACAGGCCACAACCCTTAACTGGTTCTAATGCCAGGTCAAACAACCCTGGAAGTTGTATTACCTCTGAACATGTGCAGAGGACCTTTTAAAGCCAACTGCTGCAGCCAGCTCCCATTAGCAAACCAGGTTTCTCTGTGGCAGACTGCATTGTTCAAGCAGATTTAACCTGAAGTTCCAAGAGACTGAGTACTGTTTTAAAAGAGTATAAAACTAGAGTGTTGTACCTATTGCAAATTAGCACAGAATACCCTGCTAGGGTTGCCAACTGCTCTGTGTACAATGGCACAGGACCTTTTATTCCTATAGGACACAAACATTCAGCAGGTGAAAGATTCCTACCACACAATATTCTATACTGCAGAAATAATGCAGTTTGACATCACTTTAACACCATCCTATGAAATCCTGGGATTTGCAGTGTGTTGTGACACCAGACCTGACAGGCAAGGTTAAATATCTCACATAACTATATATCCCAGATTTCATAGATTGAGCCATAGCAGTTAAAGCTCCATTAATTCTGCAATGCAGATTAAACCAATGAAAGCCTAGCACCAGATCAGTTTCAGCCTGCTACCCTGCAATTAATTGTACAGAAGCTCTGTGCATAAAAAAGGATTCATCCCCTCCCAAAAATACATCTTGCATGAGGAGCTTCCTGCCAGTCGAGTCAAACAGAGGCAATTATTTATTTAGCGTTACCCCATATTCATCCCATTGGCTTTGCTACAGAACTGTGGACAGCAACTTAAGAGGCAGCAATCTAGCAGGAAAAGCAATGCAGAGGGGTGCAAATATCTACACACACACACACACACACACACACAAACACGATTCATTGCCTTGAGTCCCATTTTAGGAGAAAGGCAGAATATAAATCATATATATATGAGATTTATATTCTGCCTTTCTCCCAAATGGGACTCAAGGTGATTAATGATACATGTTAAAACAACATGGCTGAAAGAACATGATGTACAAAGGTGTTTTTAAAAGTATTAAGCAATCCCATTAAAATATTAATGCAGGACATTAATTGAAGACAACGAAAAACAAATTAAAATACCAGATATTGACAACCTTCTACCTCCTTCTACCTCAACCAGTTAAAGGCTGAAGGCCTGTTTGAATAGGAATCTCTTTGCCAGCAAAAAAGATTTTCTGTTTTCAACCATACTGTGCTCTTTTTACTATCCAAACTACTTTGATTCCCAATGGTGTAGAAATAAAGGTGATGATGTTGAGGGGGAGGAGGATGGGGATTCTGGTTTCTTGGAGGTAGGGGATGATAGGATTATGATCCACTCTCCCCATCCCAGTCTGAACATTTTCCCTCCATCACCACCCTTGGCAGCCCTCTAGGCATCCAGGGCCTATTCACCCTAAGCCCCTTTGAAACAAGGGCTGCATCCGCACCACAGAAATAATCCAGTCTGACACTGCTTTAACTGCTACGGCTCAGTGCTAGGGAATCCTGGGACTTGTAGTTTGTCATGGCACTAGAGCTCTCTGACAGAGAAGGCTCAATTGCTCACAAAACTCCCAGAATGCTAAGGCAGTTGAAGCGGTGGAGTTTATCATACAAGAGGGAAGCACCCAAATCCCGTGGATAAACGGGGTTTAAATCTGGGAAAATCCCGCAAAAGCAGGATTGTTTTCAGATGACGTCGGGCCCATTCAGCATTATCCCGACATTAACCCGTGAATAAAGCGGCAAAATCGTACCGCTTTTTACTTTCAGGATTCTCCAGACCTCGTCTGAAAACAATTCCGCTTTTGTGGGATATTCCCAGATTTAAACCCCGTTTATCCACAGGATTTGGGCACTCCCCTCCCGTGTGATAAACTCTGGGGTCAAACCGGATTATTTCTGCAGTGCAGATGCAACCAAGGGGCCTCAAAGATGAGGCCGATGAGGGCAGGATGGTCAGATGTCCTAACCACAAAGATGGACAAGGCAGTGGAAAATGTAGGCCCTTCAAGAAACGTGTAGGACATGACAAAACAAAAGCTAAAAGCACTCATATAAATTCATGCGTTTTAGTCAGGTTCGAAATGGAGGACATTTTGGAATCCCTCCTGGACAGAAGGTGGAAATGTAGGGCAAGTCCTGGAAAGGGGGGGGAGCCTCTAGTCACCCTGAGGACAGGACATCTAAAATGTAGGACGATGACCAAAGAAAAGCTAAAACCACTGAGTATACATGTACATTCCTGTTTCTTAGCCCTGCTCAAAAAATGGAGGACATTTTGGAACCCCTCCTGGACAGAAAGAAGGGCATGAAATGTAGGACAGGTCCTGGGGAAAAGGAGGGCCTCTGGTCACCCTGAGGGGCAAGGCAAGGCAAGGCAAGGCACCACAAAATGGAGGGCTTTTTTAAAAAGAAAAACCAACCTGTATTTGCCCTGACCAAAGAGAAGCAAAACCCACTGAATATACATGTATACACTCCTGCCTTCTTGGCTCTGCTCAAAATGGAGAGGCATTTTGGGACCCCTCCTGGGCAGAAAAGGGCCTGGGATGCAGGGCAGGTCCGGAAAAGGAGGACGCCCCCTGCCTCCATCTGTGTGTGTGTGTGTGTGTGTGTGTCCCTCACCCTTGTAGTACATCTGGAAGGCGCCGTTGGGGCTGCCGTTGGCGTTGCTCCTGAGGAGGCCCTGGAAGAGCTCGGCCACCTTCTCCCGGAGGGGCTGGAAGCGGGCGGGCCTCTCGACGAGGGCGAAGCGGCGGATCTCGCGGGTGGCCTCCTCCTTCCCCAGGAGGTAGGCCTTCACCGTCAGCGGAGCCATGGCCAGGACGATGGCGGCGGAGGTGGCTGTGGCGATGATGGCGCAGCAGGAATTGCGAAGGAAGGGCGGCCGATGAGGAAGAGAGACGCCTCAGTCAGTCGCTGCTGCTGCTGCTGCTGCTGCTGTCGGATGCCTTGGCCCTCGCCCGCCTTATAAGCGCGGCGGAAAGGGCAGGCTCCCGCTGGGAAAGCCCCCGGCTGGGAAGGGATGGGCCTAGAAAGAAGGAGGGAAGGGGAGGAGGAGGAGGGATGGGGAAGAAGAGAGGAGGGAGCCTTTCCTCCTGGCTGAAAAGGCTGGCAGTTTCTAGAAAGAAAAAGGGGGGAAAGAGAGAGAAAGGCCTTTACAGGCTGACAGAAATAATGCAGCCTGAGGCCACTTTAACTGCCTTGGCTCAGTGCTAGGGAATCATGGGAACTGTAGTTTATTGTGGCACCAGAGCTCCCTGACAGAGAAGGCTCAATGTCTCAGAAAAAAACTACACTTCCTATGATTCACTAGCACTGAGTCAGAACAGTTATAAAGTGGCCTGACACCATGGGATAGGGGTGCTTCAATCCTTTGGAGCCTGGCTGGGCCACTCTCTCAGCCAGTCACACACTCTCAGCCTCAGAGCTTGGGGCAAAAGGCGAGCGAACCCCCTCTGAGGACATTCAGGGGTAGCTGTGTTAGCCGTTTAGCAAATTAAAACAAAAATCCATCAAACAGTAGTAGCTTTGGGCCTGTGAACAGACTGCCAGAAATAGTCCAGCTTCAGGCCACTTTAACAGCCCTGGCTCAGTGCTTGAGAATCATGGGAAATGTAGTTTATTGTGGCACCAGAGCTCCCTGACAAAGAAGGCTCAATGTCTCAGAAAAAAACAAAAAACTACAATTCCCATTATTCCCTAGCATTGAGCCAGGGCAGTTAAAGTGGACTCAAGATGGATTATTTCTGGCAGTCTGTTCAGGCCCAACATTTATTGGCCAACCAAAATGCACAGTGTACACGTTGCAAGCTTTCGAAGCTCCACTGGCTTCTTCGTCATCAAGAAAGGTGTTACAAATCTCTGAGGAAACCTTGCCCAGAATGGACCCTGTGATAGGGGCCGCCATGGGTCTGAAAGGACTTGTAGGCACACAGCAGTAACAAAGACTTGAGAGGTCGGTGGTGTGTGTAGTGGTTTCAGGGTTGGACCGGGTTCGAATCCCCACTCGGGTATGGAAACTCATTGGGTGACCTTGGGCATGCCACACTCTCTCAGCTTCAGAGGGTGGCCATGGCAAACCCCCTTTTGAAGAAATCTTGCCAAGTAAACTCCATGAGAGGATCGCCTTAAATGGGAAACGAAGAAGACATACAACAACAAGGGAACCAGTGTGGGTCAATGGTTTCAGGATTGGGTTATGACTCTGCAGACCAGGGTTTGAATCCGGGTTCAGCTATGGAGACCCACTGGGTGACCTTGGGCAAGTCACACTCTCTCAGACTCAGGATGGTAATGGCAAACCCCTTTTTGAAGAAATCTAGGCAAAAAAAACCCCCATGAGAGAATCGCCTTAAATGGGAAACGACTTGAAGAAGACACACAGCAACAAGGGAGCCAATGTGGGTCAATGGTTTGAGAGTTATAAATAAAAATTATTATTATTATTATTATTGTTATTATTGTTATTATTGTTATTATTATTATTATTATTATTATTATTATTATTATTATTATTATTATTATTATTATTATTATAGTTGGGTTATGACTCTGCAGACCAGGGTTCGAATCCCGGCTCAGCTATGGAGACCCACTGGGTGACCTTGGGCAAGTCACACTCTCTCAGCCCTAGAGGAGAGCAATGGCAAACCCCTTTTTGAAGAAATCTTGCCAAGGAAACCCTGTGATAAGAGTCGCCTTAGGGGTCGCCATAAGCCAGAAATGGCTTGAAGGCACACAACAACGAGAGCCTCTGAGGGAAACCTCGGAGAAGATTAAGGGTTGAATTGTGGGGTTTTTTAGTCTTTAATACTGTTTTTCAGTCTTTTACTCTGAGTCCATGTTTTGGAGAAAGGGCGTGGTAATTAATAATAATAGTAATAATAACAATTATAATACCTCGTCGCTCCACCCCCGACATAAAAAAGATGGCGGGGCAAATGCTGAAGGGAGCGACCTGGGCGTCTGTGTTTTGGTTTGTGGTGAGAAGGGCAAGCGGAGAGAAGGGCCGTCCCCTCATGAAAGCCCCCTTGTCAGCGTTATTCAGCACTTCTTCCCTTCCGACGAGCAGGAAGCCCTCCCCCGGACCCTCTTCTCCTCCTTCTCCCACAAGGGCGGGCTTTATCCCGGGAGGGAGGAACCTCCTCCATCTGCCGCCGCCTTCGCCTTCTACTTGCTGACTCACTCGCCTTTGGTCTGAGGCTGCTTGGAGTTGAGTAGGCCCCAGGCCTTCTTCCTGCCTGGCCTCGCCTTCAGCTCTATGGCCCAGCTCTGGGAGAAGATGGCCCTGGCTAACAGGGCCCTCAAGAAGTACTGGGAGGAAGGCGGGATATAAATAAACAAAATAAATAATAATAATAATAATAATAATGATGGTTGTTTTGTTGTGTGCCTCCAAGTCATTTCTGACTCATGGCGACCCTTCTCTTGGGGTTTTCTTGGCATGTTTCTTCAAATTAGGTTTTGACATTGCCATCCTCTGAGGCTGAGAGAGTGTGACTTGGCCAAGGTCACCCCACTGGGGTTTTCTACTGGAGCGGGGGACTTGAACCCTGGTTTCCAGTTTCCTAGTCCAATGCTAAAACCATTATACCACACGCTGGCTCTCTTCAAGAATTAAGCAATGCAAAAATAGGTGCATTATCATCCAAAATCCACAAAACGACGATACCTTTATAGGGACAACCAAAATGCATGTTGCAAGCTTTTGAAGCTCCACTGGCTTCTTCATTGGGCAAAGGTGTTAAAAACCATACAGAGAGAAAAGAAAGTCAGCCCTCCATATGCATGGATTTTTTTATCCATGGATTTAGCCATCCACAGATTGAAAATATTCCAAAAATATATACATTCCAAAAAAGCAGACTTTTGATCTTTCCATTTTTATATGAGATACTCCATTTTACTATGCCATTGTATTTCATTGGACTTGAGCATCTGTGAATTTTGGTATCCACAGGGGATCCTGGGATCAAACCCCAGTGGATACCAAGGGCCCACAGTATGTACTATATATACTAGTATGGTATAGTTCTGATGAATAATGACCACTAATGATCTACAATAATCCATCCTAGATAACTTGAAAAGTGAAATAGTCAAGGAGTTCCCACACCAGATCAAACATTGAGCAGAAGGGAGACTGCAGTCAAGAAATTAGAAGAAGGCTAGGATTGGGAAGGGTAGCTATGAAAGAACTGGATAAGCTTCTAAAGAGTAAAGGAGACCAAAGCGAGGATAGTCCAAGCCATCGTATTCCCCGTCGCCATGTACGGATGTAAGAGGTGGACAGTGAAGAAAGCAGAGGGGAAGAAAAGTAATTCATTCGAGATGTGGTGCTGGGGAAGAGTGCTGAGGATATCATGGATGGCCAAGAAGACAAACAAATGGACAGATCAAGCCTGAATTCTCCCTGGCAGCCAGGATGACTAAATGTGGGTTGTCATACTTTGGCCACATCATGAGAAGGCACGACTCATCAGGAAAGGTAGAAAGCAACATTAAGAGAGGAAGATCCCATGCGAAATGGATAGATTCAATCAGGGAGTTTGCAGGACCTATACAGAACAGTGGAGGACAGGGGGTCTTGGACATGTCTCATCCACATGATCACCCTGAGTCAGGGTTGACTTGAAGGCAGCTAACAACAACCACACCAAGACCCAGTCTATGAAAGCTTATGCTACAACCCTTTTTCTCTCTCTCAAAGGTGCTACAAGGTCCCTTTGCATACTGATAGACTTAATGCAGCTGTGTCTTTGAATGTACTGCCAAGGGTTCAGTATATATGGTGTTCCAAGGAAATGCAAGCAACATGGTCACGCACCCAGTGTCCAAGAGGCCCTTTCATACTTCTCAGTTATACCAGTATGATTCTGCTTCAACTGCCACAGCTGCCTTCTGGGGTCTGCAGCTTGGTTAGAGGCACTGGAGGAGGACTCTGGCTGAGATTTCTAATACACCTCCCTAAATGTAAGTCCCAGGATTTCATAGGATGGAAGCATGGCAGTTAAATGGGAATTATAATATTACAGTTATGTGGTATGAAAAGGGCCTGATGCATTCCTTTCATCCCTTTCATGCTAGCTTGGATTTTTCTTCCACTGTGGCTCAGCCTCACCTGTATACCATCAGGTTGAGAGCATAAAGAAAATCAATACTGTACTGGACAAAACCAAAAGTTTTTCTAATTTAGGATTCTCTCCAAAAGTGGCAATTCAGATGAATCTGGGACCTCTTTCAAGCAGTGTGCCACTCCTACAGCTTCCCTACCCTCTTTGTCCTTTTACCAGGGGCCAAGGTTGCTGTCCTAAATGCAATTTCCAGAGAGTAAACTCCATTGAACACAGGGGTTTCATGTCTGAGTAAACATGTAGCATCACAGCTGTTGTTGTTTGCCTTCAGATAATTTCCATCTTATGGTGACCCTGAGGCAAACCTATCACAGGGTTTTCTTGGCAAGATTTGTGCAGAAAGGGTTTGCTTTTTCACCTTCCTGAGGTGACTTGCCCCCCAATGGACTTCCATGGAGAAAGGATTTGAACCCTGGCCTCTAGCGTCTTAGCCCAATGCTCAAACCATTATACCATGGCTGAAGATCTCAGTACAGTACAGTATAAGGTTCATGCCCTCTGACCAGGGAGTAAGCATCATTAAAAACAAACAGGGTAATTTCTGAGTATATAGATAAAGGATTTTTTTAAAAATATGTAACAACATTTATAATTTATTAACTATAATAACATTACATGAACAACTAACTAAATAAAAGGGGATGTGATGGGAGGAAAAATGTTGGGTAGAGATTCAGTTAAAATGATAAAAACATGATTCTTTGTGGTATGTCATCATACCATCAAATGAAACCCATATAGGCCAATCTATATAAAAGAACAGTAAATTTCAGATCACTGAGTTCATACCTTAGGTAGAGGTCTCTGTATATATGTCCTATATGATCTGTAATGCGCTCATTCTTTCAAACATTTGGTAAGAGGTGTGAATTGTTGAACAATTTTATACTGTACATTGCCCTGAAATGTAAATAGAGTGAAATATTAAAAAGTTTTAATTAAATATAAATTATTGTACAACCATTCTTTCAGCTCAGTGAGACTTGCTTCTAAGCAAACATGCTTAGATGTAACAGGAAGCTGGGTACAAACAGATCATATTTAACAAGCTGTAGAGCAAGAGTTGCAAATGAGTAGATTAGTACACATTTGGTTATTATCCCAGATGTTGGTGTTACGGTATATTTAAAATTAGGTGCACCTGGGAATTAATCACTGAGTCTTCTGCACCCACTAATAGCTGACAGTTGACTTTGATACCAAGGCTTTTCAGAATCATTAAGCCTGTTTGCTGAAATAATAACATATATAAACTTACTGAAATAGGTACCGTATTTATATGTTCTGGTCCTTTGCATTAATGGAGATTCCTTTATTTTCATGCATTGCAAGTCTGTCTTTGCCAAGTCTAACTTGTACCTGTATTCTTCTGGACATTCTCTTCTAAAGCTGAATGAGATGGCAGTGAAAACATTACTGACATTAGAGATGATATTTTAGAGACTTCCTAGCATTGTTGACTACACAGTGTGTTGCTCAGATACAGTTGGCATGCTTCTCAAACTGGCTTGATAGAAATGCAGCTCACAAAAGATGCTATCTGAACCATCTAGGTAACTGAAGACTGATAATGGGGACTCAGGCTTCTATTTCATGCTAATGACCTTTCTTTTTCTCCTGTTTCTTAGCAATACAGAGAGATAAAGTGGCACCTCTGGCACACCAGAGATGTACACCCAGCATCAAGCTCTTTTAAGCCAGTTGAAATAATAAAGTTTAGATTCATCTAATGCTATGTATGTTCTGGACGGTTTGTTGTTGTTGTGTGCCTGTTGTTGTGTGTTGTTTCTGACTTATGACACAGAAGAAGGAGGAGTGAAAA